CTGGTAATAACCGTCTTTGCTATATCAAACTCTGGGCTTATAAAAGCTGTCTGGAACTCATGAGTTGTCATAGCAATAACGCTCACTTGATACATTTTACAGATAACAATTGCTGGTAAGTGTTCTTGCAATGAAGTACTCAAATAACTGGTATGACTAGGAATGTCAGTCACAGATCAGTCAAGTGGGACATCTCAGGAAATCAATTTCACCAGCTGTTGTGGAATTCCTAAATCTTTTTCTTTCAAAATGTATGTCCAGGAAAGTCCAAACAAACTGTATTGACAGTGCAGTTCAGGGGTAGGGTGGAAAGGGCAGAGCTGAAAAGAGTTGGTTCTGTGGCATAACATAAGGAGAGCACACTCTGGGGCCAGTCACACCAGGAGAAAATCCCAACTCCATCATTTACTACCATCTAGACATCAGGCCTTCTTCGAGTCTCAGTAGTTTTGTATATAAAATGACAATAGTGCAGTTGTCATGAAAATTAAAAATAACATTCTAAAGGAGCAAGCTCAGGACCCTGTGTGGAACTCAATAAGACTAGGTAATATTTTGGGGCTCCTGGATGGCTCAGTCAGTTAAGCGTTGGACTTCAGCTCAGGTCATGATCTCATGGTTTGTGAGTTTGAGCCCAGCGTTGGGCTCCGTGCTGACAGCTCGGAGCCTGCTTTAGATTCTGTGTCTCCCCTTTATATTAAAGTTTTCTTGTTCAAATCACAATGTAGTTACTTTCTCCTAAGTGGACCCTAACTGAAACAAGTGCTGAAAGGCTGAAGAAAAACAGCAGTACCTGACTCTACCTGTGTTGTACCACCTGCCCCCACTCCCCAGAGGTAATATTTTAATACTCTTGTATGCTTCCATATTTCACATATACTTAAGTTATTTATACTGTTATTTCTGGGTTTATCAATTTTAGACATTATCCATTCTTATATTTCTCTGTTCCTCCCCTGCTTGCACTCTGTTTCTCTCTCTCTCTCAAAAATAAACATTATTTTTTTTTAAAAAAGACTAGGTAATATTTTAAGGCTTGCCTGCAAACCTGTTCCATGATGTTTACAACATTCAGGTCTAGCAAGTCGGCCACCTCAACACACACTCATGGCCCACACCACCCCAAGTGTCTTGCCCAGGGTCACAGACTAAGTTAATAGTTCACTTGGGCCTGGATCTGCTGTGTTCACGACAAATTCTATGATAGCTATATTTACCATCATATTCTCCCCAGCCCCCTCACTCCCATGAACAATTCCCTGGGAAAATCATTTGGTTGAATCATCTAATTCAGTTGTGATTAGTAAGGGTCTCTGCTTTAAAGGAAAGGACGACCCCTCTGTTGTCTTCACTAGGATACTACAGGAAAGGCTGTGGCTGAATTTGATGAGATCTAACAGTGCATCTCCTGAAGAACTTAACCTCTGTGAGATTCCTGTATTATGGTTGGGAAGGTTAAACAAATTAGATCTACTAAGCACTTAGCATAGCATCAAGCATATAAGTGATCAACAGCAGTAGCAACAACAGTGTTACTGTGACAAGTCGTTCCTTTAAGAACAGCTCCAAGAACCTCCAGAAACATCAACTGTAGAAGCTGCTATCAAGGGTTATGCATTCTTTGTAAATGACATCGCTTTTCAAATGTTAAAGTGAAAGAGGGAAACAAACAGGAAGCAATCAGCTGTGAGAAGGTAATGGTGTGACCTTTTACAGTGGGTGGCTGTTTAAGGGAGCTGAGTTCTACCCCTGGCTGTGCTGCTGCTTAAGGGTTGAGGGGACACCTTGGGCAAATCATTTCCTGTCACTGTGACTCAGTTTCTCTGTATAAATTGAGGCTGTTGGAAAGGAAGTGTCCAGGTTGCTTTCGGCTCTTCTACACTATGATTCTTATTTTAAATATTTTTAAGTTTACTTATTCATATGGGGGGGGGGTGCAGACAGAAAGAGAGGGAGAGAGAATCCCAAGCGGGCTCTGCACTGTCAGCGTGAAGCCCAACTCAGAGTTCGAACTCACGAACCATGAGACCGTGACCTGAGCTGAAATCAAGGGTCAGGTGCTTAACTGACTAAGCCACTCGGAACCCCCTGCTACACTATGATTCTTAAGTCTGGAATCTGTTTAGGTGGTGGTAGAAGAACACAAGAGAGAACAGTAGTGAACATAGGAATAGAAGATCTTGGAGTTGAGATTAAAAATGAAAAAGCTTTAAGCAAGCAATATGTTTGCTTAGAGCCATGGCTTTTTAAATGTCTGCCACTGACTGCATGACATATTTGCTTGAACGGAGCTCCTACGGTAAGCTGACAATAATCTGATTTTCTCTGTTGCCTGACACTCTAAATTCTTATTTCCTAGGTTACCATAGTGCTCTCTCTAGCCAATGTCACTCAGTGAGTTTTGACTGTACAGGCTTAATATGATGCCAATTTTGTGCAATGCTATTTACTCTCAATCCCTTCAAATTAGATGTTCTTCTATTCCCGAAAATAAAATATTAACAGAGCTACTAGACAAGTCTTCAACTTAGTAACCTCTCAAAAAATATAGCCCTTCTATTTCTGTCTGCCGAGGATATGAGGATTTTTTTTCCCCCTTTATTACGGAGCAATGTGTGCAAGGGGGCAGGGAGAAATGTGCTGGATGTAATGGGTTGGAATCTTAAGCTAGAGTGGAGGCAGGTTTCCTCAGGGGAGCCTCTAAAAAGAAATACAGTGTGTGAAGAAAGTAAAATCTTTCATCTCAGAGCAGGTGCAAGAAAGCAGACACTGAAGTGTGTATGTGAGAACAACAATGAGGCCACAGAAAAAGGTCCACTCCTCTCTCACTCTTTCTTTAGCGCAAGGTGTACCCTCCACATTCTTCTCGAGATTCTCATTTCTCTGGCAAGCCCTACATGGGTCTTATTACATGAAATGCAATCGGTAGGAGGGCATATTTATTCTCCTCTCCTTTGGTTTCACTTCCTTCGAAGCTCCAAGCCTCTTTCTCTGCCTTTCACACATCTTCAAAGAGGAGGAGCATATGAAGTGTTGGGTGAAGTCGAGAGAGGAACCCGCACACCTAACTCTGCCTCCTCCAACTGCTGTCCTCTGGGAAGCAGCCTCTTACACAGGAAGGACATCTGCTGCTGCTGAAGGGCCCCTGCTCTGAGGGGAGGCTGTCTGACTCTGTGCCCCAGCATTAGGAAGCCCGCACATGGGCACAATTAGATGTGAAATTGATGTGAGTCCTTTTTGATCTCTTAACTTCCCTACTCTTTTGCCTTATTTCACCATTTTTTTTTTCAGAAGGCAAGTGGGAGGAGAAAGTTATTGTGGCTTCACCCCAATCATAATTATATGACTATATGTTGTAGGGGGAAATCTGCTATAACTTCTTTAGCCATTTCTTAGTGTGAAAGTTGATTCATTTCTACTGGTTCCTTCCCCTTCCAGTACCTTTCTTGATGTCATATGCTTGCTGATTCACAGATGGATTATCAAGTGAGCCATCTGTGTGACTCATTGATTAATAAAACAGAATAGTCTAGACCAAAAAAAGATTAGCTTCATATTTAATGTGTTTCAGCCATCCGTTTAACTAGAATATTAACTATTAGGAATTGAACCCTGCTGTAGTGGAAATGTGGGCTGGAAATAACTCTGTGTCTATCTATTTATTTATTTATTTATTTTTTAATTTCTAGGAGAGAGAGACAGCGTGAGCAGGGGAGGGTCAGAGAGAGAGGGAGTCACAGACGGAAACAGGCTCCAGGCTCCGAGCTGGCAGTCAGCACAGAGCCCGACGCGGGGCTCGAACCCACAAACCGCGAGATCATGACCTAAGCAAAGTCGGAAAGTCGGCCGCTTAACCGACTAAGCCACCCAGGCGCCCCAACTCTGTGTCTATCTAAACGGGCTGTCTAAATCATGGAATTAACCTAGAAGGAAATGTATATGGTCTGAATCTCTCTCTTTTGCATCTGAAGTACAGTGGCAGGCATAGTACAGGTTTAAAAGTAGCATGGTTTACCATCTTGGTTTTGTCACTGTATGCCATCTGTCACTGATCTGTAATAAACACTTCTGATCCTTGGATTTTTTTTTTTTCCCTATAAAATGGGGATGGTAAAAACTGCCTCACAAAATTGTAGGACGATTAAATTAGATAATTGGAACAATATTTATATTCTAGAAAATATATATGTATATGTGAATTGCTAATACCATAGATAGAGAAACTGAAAAGAGCACATTACACGTTCAAGGCCACATAGCTATTTAGTGTCTTGTCAAGACCAGAGCCCTTCTTCTTGTTTTCCAATGCCTACTAGAGTTTCTCAAAGAGAGTTCCAGGGACTACTTTTAAAGAAACACATATTTTTGAACCCCACTCCAGCTGTAAATCATAGTATCTATAGAAAATCCCTTGAATTTTTATTTAACAATGAACACAAAGTTTGGGAGCCACTATATCTGGTCCAGATTTTTTAATACTTATACAATGCTGCATTGTCATCAATTATAGATGTGACCCCACCCCCATTACTTGAAAGCATCTTAAAAGAATCAGTTCAGTCAAAATATTTATACTTCAATCTATTTTAAACCAACTGGGTCACTCTAACTTGGAAGGGCATCTCTGCACAGTTTAAAAAACAGCCTTCAAATTCTGATAGCCAAATATCTCCAGCTCAAATTTTCCACTCTCTTAATAATTAATTCTAATATTTATCTTATCTTTATTTAAGGTCAGTTTGTAATTCTCAACCCTTGGGCAGTGGTAGGCCTGGATAAAAATCATTAAACCATAGTGTGACCTACAGTAAGTTTAACAGGTGAAACCCAATTATGGCAAACCTCATGATACTGCCAAATGGCTATATTCTAACACAATTGGGTTACAGTGAACACAGTGCCAGAAATAAGGTCGAGCTTTGTGGAACTTGGAAAGCAAAATGGTTTGACTTCCAGCATCTTCGAAGTGAATTACCCAGTGAAAAGAACTGCTTTGAATACAATACAGATACAAAGATTGTATTACGTAGACTGGACCCTGCAGAGCTTCGGGTTTTTCTGCAGGGTGGTCTTCCTGCAAGTGCTGAGCATGCACGGAGTGAGCTGAGGATCCCTTAAATAGTGAGCAGAGGAGTAGCATGACATGGCCGTCATTTTCACGGCATCTCTCTGGCTGTGATGTTGGGGCTGAGGGAAAAACAGGGAGACCAGTTAGAAGGCTATTGCCACAATCTAGTGAAAGACAGTGGGTAGCAGCAAGGGAGAGGATGAGAAGCAATTAGCCTCTGGGTATGTTTGAAAGGTAGAGCTGACAAGATTTGACCCTCAGAGTCAATTTTACTCCGTTCTGTCCATATGAAAATGGCTCTGCCCTATAAAACAGTTTTTAATGATGTATTTTTCAAGGAAGTAATCTTAACCTTAAAGAAAAATGGCGATTAGAGCATAACAACATAAGAAAACCATATATATATATATACAAAAAAAGAAATATAATTTATCCACACATGCAACAAAATACACAACTTCCACATGTTCTCTAAAATGTAAGCTATTAACAATAGCTATGTTGTTATTGCCACATTCCCTTTTACATCTATGAATTTTATCGTAATATCCAGTTTGAAATTTCCCCCTTAAACTAGCTGTTTACTCACTGCATAGCAGTTTCCTCCCTTTCTACTTTTCTTCCATAGACTCAGCTTATTATCTTGCCCTTCCATTGTCCTCCAAGTTCTTAGTTTTTGAAACTGATCTTCCACTCACATACATTTCCCCCGGGAAACTTCTGTTCCACCTTTCACATTGCTGACTAGTTTTCTTCATCTTCTCTCTTTGTTTCCTTGAGCTCGCCTCCTATTGGTGGACCGATCAGGGAGAACTATTTCCCTTCACCCAGGAGGCTTATAAAACCATCTCTGCAAACTAACTAGAGGTTCTGTGATTGAAGTCAATATATCAGTTGAAGCTATAAATAAAATGTAGCACTCAAAGCTGAAGCAGTGTTTTTTTTTTCTTTAAGTTATTCAGCAGGACACCATCATTTCATCTCTTCTACACATCTTTTTATTACACTGCATTTTAATGTTCAATATGACACCCCAAATAAAATGCCGAAACCCCCTGTGAACACTTTATTGTATATTCCATCTCTTTTCTGCTTGGAATCAGGATATTAGTTTATAAAATGATTTTCTCAAATGAAATTAGGGAGTAAAGCAGTGTGATTCAGGCATTCACAATTGTCTATCAGCCTCCTATTGTGGAAGGATTAAATGTGATTTCAAACAATAGATGGCAATCCTAGGAAAAAAAAATATGCAGGTGAATGTGTTGATTATGATGTCACAAGTGGGCTTTGGGTTAATATCCTTCAGTAAAGATCTACTGATAACAGCTTTATTAGAATCAAGTTTATTCTAGGATGATCAACTTTGATCACTTGGCTATTCAAATTCTGCTTCACCTTTGAGGCTCCTTCATGTATAGTTTCATGTCAGAACTCTTTTCTTGTTTTAGTGGGATGAATTTGTTTTATGACTGTCAATAGATTACAATAGGCTTGGTTATTACCATTTTGTGTTAATTGTACAAGTCTTGAATTCTCAGTCAGTACTGTTTCATAATTACACTTGTAATGAAAGCACAGACCAATTACTATCCTCACAATATTTTCAAAGCACAGAGAATTAATCAGTCTGTATGTAATTCTTTTCTAATATGGTCTATGACTGCATCATCTTCCTTTATAAATATGTATAGATTATACCCACCATGTTGTCAAACACCTGGACAAAAACTAAAATCTCTATTAAATGCTCAGGTACAAAAAAATTGCTCAAATTTTCTAAAGAATGTTTCCATTTCCATCCTATCTACCATCATATTTGTTGACCATTAGAAGTGGTCAAATTCCTCTATCTTCCATTCACCTCCTCCTTTCAAATGTGAATCACAATTTATAACAATTACCCTAGAGACGTAAGTACTATGAAGTAGATACTGTTATTACTCCCATTTAACAGGTGAGATAAGTTGACCTGTGTCATAATACTTATAACTGGTAGAGCTTTGAACTGCAAACAGAGAAATCTGCTTTGCTGCTCTGCCCCTTATGTGACATCAGTACCATCCCTCCATCCCCTCCCTGCCAAGGAAGAGGGTTGGATCCCATTTGAGAAGGGGTGATTTAGCTATGCTTCTGGGAGTGTCATTTTGGAAAACGATAAATACCATCAAGCACATGGATTGAACACTCATCTTTCTATTCAAAGTGGTTACTTTTGGTCCAGCTCAGAATTCCTGTGTCCTTGACCATATACTATCATATTAATAGGATCCAATACAACAATGACTTCTAACAGTACTAACAATGACTAAATAAATTTGAAAATGTAGGCAGTTATATAGAAAATATCTCCCAGAAAGGGCAAAGCAGAAACATTCAAATTATCAAGTCAAAATGAATTGGTACCTAAGTTCCACAGAAAAGTTCTAAAAACTTCATTCTGCTTATATTGAGCTCTTGTGGATACAGAGGCACAATTTATATCTCTAAGGTCTGGGGCCAAAGCATTATAAAATTTAAAAAAAAAATCCTTCTTTTATCCAATAAGTATTAGATGAAACTCACTAGGCACTAATTGTATGTTACAAACTATTATAGACCATGAAGGTCTCAACTAGAATATATTAGGTTTAAACAACAAAAGCTGTATTGCTTATCCCAGGAAGTACAAACTAAATACTTAACATATTTTTATATTGTAAATTTGTATCAGAAATTTTATATTCATACACATGCAACAAACAATGACAATACGACCCCTTCTTGGATCACAGATAATTTGTATTAGTCCCTCCTCCCCTCCTCCCCAAAGAGCTTTGAGGCCATGGAGACATAATTATAAGCAACACAATCTCTACTATCAAGTTCAACATCTGGAGGGGATTATCTCCTCGCCTGGCAGGAATTTCACAGGGCTCTTTCTACGGGTATGTATGTTTTCTTATTCACTGCCTTCAACATGCATTCTCTGACTGACCCAGTTCTGACTGACCCTTCATAATCCTTGTAGGTCATCTCTGTTCCTATTCTCATCCAGCCCAGCTTGATCCATGACTGCTCCCAGGTTGTGGGCATGGACTCGCCCAGCACCTGTACTCCTGTGAACCCCATCTGACCCACCGTGGGCTCCCAGGCTCTGCTCCCGGGCATGCTTCCTGCTGGGCAGGCACCTGGCTCACCATTTGCTTGGCTTCTCTTGTAGCCTGGCTGCTCTCCTCTTACCCACCTCACCTCCCTTTCCCACCTCCCTGGGCTATAAGAGCAAGTACATAAATCAGTCAGTATTTACTTGTTGACATCCAAGAACATTTCACACAAAAATATTCCATTTTCTAAGCCAGGAAGTAAAATGAAATCAAAGACATGCTTACAGAGTAATACACTCTTACAGCCTTTACTAGCAGAAGTTTAGAGATTTAATAAGAGTTAGGTTTGCTCTTTTATCTTTACTTGAGATATTAAAGAACTAAATGAATAACATGCTATTCAGATCACCACAGGTGATGGAAAAGGACACGGTGTAAAACCCAGTTTGTAAATCTCCAAACAGTCAATTAGCATACCAATATGAGCAATGAGTAGACCTTACAGCCTTTCCCAAGCAAACACGGTAATTAAAAACAAATTACTATGTAGCCTGGATGTGGTGCTTTACAATGTACCCCACCTGCCAACCAGCAGCTAAATTCATTCCAAGACTGTCTGGCCAATTAGCTGCTTCCCATTGGGTGACTCAGGCTTCCTGTGTGAACACCATTTGCAAGAATCCACATCAGATTGGGCCTTTTGTTCTCAGAAGGCAGATTTTCCTAGGGACTCAAGAGTGGGTCTCTATCTGGATAAATTCTGCCTCAGCCAGAGAATGTATTCTTTGTACTTCACTTCACAAGAGGCTGGAAATATTCCAGTTTCAACACCAGAATAGAATCCCCAGGTTCTAATAAGAAAAGAATACTATCACATATTTTTCCTACAGGTAACTGTAATTAGCAAAAGAAAAAGCAAACATTGGATTTTGACAACTTCATCAAAAGCTCTTGGCAAAAAATTGAAGTAAAACATCTATTTTTTTTCCATTAAATAAAAATAAATCCAGGATATCAGGTCAAGTGAAATTTACTCACTTGTTTTATCATTTATTTTTGCACATGTGTGTAGGAATATAGATGCCTAGAATTAAAAGAAAAAAAAAAAAACCCAGAGCTTAAATCTTACCACCGAAGAAATGAAAACCCAAGGTCATATAAAGGGGGGAAACACTAGGAGGGCTAGGAGTCTTTCTGCTACACTATACTCTGAGTGAATGTATATTTATGTACATACTCATAATATGTATATATTTCATGTGCATAAACACAGATCTCTAAATATTTCTTCACGTGCATTTTTATCTGAAGGTGAAGGTGTGATCCTCAACTTTTGTATTTCAGGGGGGTCCAAGAGCAAAAGACTTTGCTAACAGAATCATTCTTATTTTATGTTGTAGGAGAAATGAGACCTCGACTATGTAAATGAAGAATTTTTTTGGAAATTTGGAATTTCTTTTTTGGAATTTGGAACATTTAATCATCCATTCAATGAACATTTATTTAACACTCCATGTGCCAGGCATAGATACAGTGAAATTTATGACAGGAATCATAAATAGGCTTCAATTCTTGAAATAAAACCAATTACCAGCAGCTCATTTCTAGTGCTGTGTTAAGACAGGTTCTAAGGAGCTATCTGAACTCTGGAGAAAAGAGTGATTATGTATAATTCTCACTGACCATATGAGCGTAAGGATGGTAGCAAGTGTTTTATTTAAATGATACTCCTATTGTAGAACTCTTCTTTCAGCTCCAATATTCCCTACAGATTGTGTATCTCCTCTGTTTCTGTTTAAATGTTTGCCTGAAGTTATATAAAAAGAATAGTTGCTTGTGGATATTTGCTTCTCTCCTTATTTTACCATGAAAAGACAGAAAGAAGAAGAAGAAGGAAGGAAGAAGAAGGAAGGAAGAAGGAAGGAAGAAGGAAGGAAGAAGGAAGAAGGAAGGAAGGAAGGAAGGAAGAAGGAAGAAGGAAGAAGGAAGAAGGAAGAAGGAAGAAGGAAGAAGGAAGAAGGAAGAAGGAAGAA